TGAATGGTTGTATAATCCTACTAACATCCCTCTTCAATTTATCCAATGAAGGACAATACTAATATACAAGAAATGAAATAAATTATATAAACTAAATTACAGACCAATAACTTGTTTAAACTGTCTGTTAAAAGTATACACATCATTATTAAAGATGAAGATAGAAAGCCAACTGATGCTAAATCCAATTGAAAAACAATTATCACAAAATCAAATTGGATGTAAAAAATATACATATGCATCAAAAGAAGGATTATTATACAATACTATAATCCAACAGTTATTAATTAAGGCTAAATGGAAGTGGGTAGAAACATATTATGATGTCTCTAAAGCATATGATAGTATTAATCATCAATGGGTTAAACAATGTTTAATTTACTTTAACATCCCATTAGTTGTAATTAAAAGTATATTATATATATTAAATAATACACAACTCCAATTATATTATAATCAACAAAATGTAGGTATAATTAATGTAGAAAGAGGAATAATACAAGGTGATAGTTTATCTCCATTATTATTTGTATTATCTATTGTTATATTATCTAAATAATTAGATAAACAAATTAATAAGTTATCTATTAAAATGAATGGAGAAGAAAAACAAGTAAAGTTAAACCACATATTATATATTGACGATTTAAAGATAATAACTAACAGCCTCGAAGAAATGGAAAAAGCCCTCAAATTAACAAAAGAAATATTTAATGCAATAGGACTAAAAATAAATGTAGAAAAGAGTGGGATAATGACTAATATCAATAGTCAGATAAATGGAGAATTAGCTGAATTACCAAGAGTAACTAATGATAACCCTTATAAATATCTTGGTATTGAAATAGGAGATAAAATAAATATTAATAAATATTGTACATGATTATTAAATGATGTATCTTCTATTCTATCATCATTAAATAATATGAAATATAGCAGCATCAATACAATAAGAAAGATTAATAGCGATATAATCTCAAAATTAAGATATGGATTCTGTATTGTCCCATGGAAACTTGGTGAGTTGGAGAATATAGATAAACAAATAAGAAAGGCATTGATACAACTCCAACTATACAGTAGAAACATCCCTAAAATTAGATTATATGTTACAATAAATGAATTAGGAATGGGATTAATGTCAGCACGAGATGAATGTGGTAAGGAATTATTAAGAATATATTTAAAATATAAATATCAAATACAGAAATAGGAGAAATGATAGAGGCAGTAAAAGAGAATCCAAATGGAATAATTAAAAGAATGAAGAGGGCATTTGGTAAGAAGATTAATTTCAATGAATTAATGAATGTAATACAATTAAACGAAAGAAAACATGATGTAAGCAAAGTATTTGAATGGGTAACAAATAAATTAAATGAAAGATATTTAAATGATTGGAAAGAAAAGAAATGTAGTGAATATATAAGAAATGTAAATTGTATATTTAATAATAAGAAATTAACAGTAGCCACATGGAGGTCATTAAATATAAAAAGAAATGCATTCCTCCAAGTAGTAAAGATGCAAGAAGGAGTAACTATGACAGGAAGTATTAAATCTAAAATACTCAATTGTGATGCTTTAAAATATTGTAAACATTGTCCTAATACAATTGCATCTATTAGCCACATTTTGTTAGGATGTCCTGTAATGAAGAAGAATCAAATATCAAAACACGATTATGTATGTAAACAAATATATAAACATATATTAATTACCCATTTTAATGAATTTGATGAAATAGACTTTAATGCCCCTCCTAAGTGTATTAATAATAATGAAATGGTTATAACTTACAATAAAGATTTATTGGTTAGTGACCATTCGTTCAATGCTAGAAGACCAGATATATATTATCAAAATGTCAAAGAAAAAAAAGGATATATTATCGATGTCGCCATATGTCAAGATAGAAATATAGAGTTAAATTATATTTACAAAATAAATAAATACAAAGAATTACAAGAGAAGCTAAGACAAAGTAGAGAATTAACTTATGTAGAAATAATACCTGTAATATTATCAATCAATGGGTTGATACATAAAGAATCAGTAAGAAGATTAAAAACACTAAAATTACAAATCAACTTCCCCAAAATACTACGAACAATCATTATTAAAAACATGAAAGACTTAATGTTCTACACATTCAACACTGGCAACACATTAGAAGAGGAACCTTCTAATGCGAGTATGTTAGAAGTGAACTCTATGGTAGAAATAGAGCATATTGAAGAAACTGAAACAATCACTTCTCAATATGAAGAAAATCCAATTATGGATATATCTATTAATTGATATTTTTTTTTTTTTTTGATGGATATTAAATTTCTTCTTTATTTTCTTATTTTAAGAGAATAATCCTTTTATCAATGCAGGATATACAACAAATTTTGTTGCCATGGCTATTGAGTAATACCATAGAGTCTTGTAAAGAAAATCAAACAAGACATATTCAAGTTCAAAGAAAAGAAAGAACTTCAATAGCAATAAAATGCATAATAATTATGATAAAAGAAATAACAAGAAAATAGTGAATAGAAAAAGAAGAACACAAAGAAAAACAAATAAAAAACAAGGCAAGTATAATGATAATAAACATTATACAAACAAGAAACCTAAATGGTTGACAACAAAAGAAATTCAAAAGAAAATTAAAAGAATAACAAGAAAATGGGAAAAAGGAGAATACGAAGAATTACTTAAAAAGTATGAAGGTAAAGAAATGGTATAATATTCTCCAAGAAGTATATTCAATAAGAAAGAAGAAAACACTAGAGAAAATCAAAGAAGAATTCAAAGAGAAAACAAAAGATTGGACAAGTGAAGATATTAAAAGAATCGAAGAATGAATCAAAAACAAAAATCGAAACAAAGAAATGAATGATAGATGTAAATCTGCAAGAATAATAAATGAAAAAGAAAATAAAAGGAAAACACAAGATAAAGAAGAGAAAAAGGAAGAAGAAGGCAACAAAGAAGAAATTAACACACTTCAAAATAAAATTAAAGAATTAGAAGAAACTATTAAAGAACTTCAAACAAAAAAGAACGAATAAGAACGAACCATCTCAAATGAAATGATTCAAAAAACACGAGAAACAGTCAGGAAAGAGTTTGAAGAAGAAATAAAAAAGATTCAAACACAAATGAACAATATTTAAACTACATGTAATGAAATAAGAAAAGAAAACTCTAAATTAAAAGAGGAAAATAATACATTACAAGGAAAAATGAATGAAGCAAATGGTAGAAGGAACATTGAATTAGGAGGTAAGGATGAAACCATCTTCACACTCCGAGCTATCTATGAGAAGATGAAGAAAGAGAAGGACGAAGTCCTTAAAGGTGGTGAGCTGGAGAAGAAGAGGGCTGATGAGCTGGAGAAGAGTGCTGAGCTGCTAGTGAAGAAAATAAGAGATAAAGAAAACCAAATCTCTGTATATCAAAAAAGTGTGATTCAAAACTATGAGATTGAAGAAATAACAAGAAAAGAATTAGACCATACACAAAGAGAAAATGAAGAACAAAAACAATTAATATCAAACCAACAAGAAAGTATCGAAAATTTTTTATCCCAGAAGGAACTGGAGAAGAAGAAAACAATGACTCTAGTAATAAATACACAACAAATACTGAGAACATCATCATCTGGGACAATACAAATGAACAAAACTACCCCTATGAAAAAGACAATTCTGGAAATAGAAGAAGAAGAGAGCAAACATTGAGTATCAAAAAACAAGATGATAATCAATCAAGAAGAGAAGAAAACACAACAAATCAAACAAATAGAATTTTAATTGATGTGTTGTATTGTTTTGCAATTAATTTGTTAAATAAGAAATTAAATAAGAAAATAAGATGGGAACAAATAGAAAGCATAATAAAAATAATAAATATTAATGTAAAGAATGAGAAAGAATACATTAATAATATTAAATTATCACATAAAATAAAAGAAACAACTAAAAGATATATTAAAATGAAATGAACTCAATCATAGAAGGGAAAGTAGAATGTAATCCAATAATAAAAAATAATCATAAAAAATAACTCTACTGATATTGATGATGAATATCTTAACTCTATCATCATTCAAGTTAAATAAATGAAAATAGATAAATGTGTAAATATTAATTACTACTGGAGAAGGAAAGAATCAGATAAATTAATAAGAGAAATTAATAACAAATGGATATGGTCAGGAAGCAGAATAGAAAATCTGCAAGAAGATATGAAAATGATTTCAATGTGTATGCATTACTATCTCTAAAATAAATTTAAATGAGATAAATTTGATGAAATAAAAGAAGTCATAAAGAAAATAAATAGATTAGAAGATCTAGTCAAGGGAAGGAAATGGTACAGAATAAAATACATCATGAGATTAAAGGAACAAGATGCAGATGAAATTAAAATTAAATCACAAGAAAGAATAAAGTACATAAAATATATGATGACGATGATTAAAGAAAGAATTAAATTTAATAAGAATGAAATTGTCAGAATCAATACAAATAAAATTATGTTTGATTCTAATAACAAAATTAAAATAAAGAAGAAACACAAAATGAAATATACCCAAATAACGATATTACTTTAGAATATTGGAAATCGTTATATGAAACACAGGTGATATTAAATAAGGAATTGGAAATTCTATCACAACAGAGCATACTCTATAGAAATGCTAGAGAACGGTTCAGGGACGGGATTAGTCTCGTGTGAGTTAGGAACAATAAACCAATTCTATTAACAATTAACTAATTGTTTTTTATTATTTATTTTATAACTTTTATCTTATTTTCAATTAATACATTTCTTATCAGCAAAAGTCCAAACCCACCATATTTTATAAATTCATAAAACTTTGAAGAATTAGAAAATATATCTTTAAACAAGAAGGTATTGTTTTTTTCTTAACAATTATTTCTCAATACAAATCAGTTCTGGTTACAACCACCTTTCTAAACAAAGTAAAAAAAACAGAAGAATTAATTTTTCAACATAAAAGAATCACCATCTTTTAATACAGGAAAAGTACTTATTAGTGCCTCTTGACTCCTCTTTGTCAGTGTTGTATTTAAAGAGTCTTGCACCCCACACTTTCCTTTTATAATATACTTCCCATATGGGTCAATGATTGCACTTTCACCTACATAATGAGAGTCTTCATCGTTTGGTAAACAATTTGGTAAAGAACCACAATTATTAGCAGCAAGAACAAAGCACTGATTCTCTATTGCTCTTGCTTTTGTTAATATTTTCCAATGTGCTCGATTTAACAGACTCCAACAACCAACAATAATTAAAATATCATAATGATTTTCTAATGTATTTCTGAGCCATACAGGAAATCGTAAATCATAACACACAGCCAATAGGATATTCCATCCTTTATAGTGTACAATACATTTCTTTAAACCATTGCTAAACTCTAAACCTTCTCCTCCCATTTGATATAAATGACGTTTATCATACCAAACACATTCTTCAGATGGATAAATAAAATACATTCTATTATAAATTCTTTCACCATCTTTAATAGTAATCGATCCAGTAATAGCGCATTTCCTTGTTTTGGCAATTGTTTTCATCCATTGAAGTGTTGGACTTGATGAATGGTCTTCAGCAACAAGATGAGCCTTAGGTTGAAAACCAGTATTAAAAGTTTCAGGTAAAACAAACAAGTCGATGTCATTAGAAGAATGGTCAATGATTGACTGTATTTGTTTTAAATTTTCAATTTTATTCCAAAATAATGTAAAGGGTTGAATAACACAAACATTTAAAGACATTAATAAGAGTAATAATAAATTTAATAGATTAAAGAATGTTTTTCATATTAATCCAATTAATTTAATAAAATTAATACGAGAAAAATTTAAAACCCCCAAAGAACAAAATAAAACAATTGATATTAAGCAGTATCAAGCTCAGTTCCAAAAGAAAAACGATATCTAAGATTAATTCTTCTAATTAATCTAAAACGTTCTCTCTTTGGTAACACTTGTAATATTTCTCTCATTTTTTGTAATAATCTCGGTTCTAATTCTTTAGCTCTTCTACACATCTCTTTTAATTCTTTTATTCGTTGTTGTTGAACCATACGATCCATAACACTTCTTCCTAATTTTGGTTTAATTTGAAATTCATTGTCCAAAGCTATTAATGCTAATCTTTCAACTTCTTCAACTTGTTTCAATTTTTGGTCAAGTGCTTTAATAGCTGTTTCTACTCGTTGAATAGTTGGTGAAACAGTAGGAGTGGCAAATAATGGATCTCCTCCAGATAAATCAATTTGAGCATAAACCATTGAAAATGTCAAGAACAACACAACAAAGGCATTTACCATGTTTAATTAAAAAATAATATTTTAATAGTTTGTTTCAAATATTTTCTTTAATTTTTAATTTTTAGATTTTCTTTTTTTATTGTTTTGATTTTTATTTTCGTTATTTATAACATAAAACTATTACTTTATTACTTGTTAATAATACACTGATGTTGTTGTGGTGTAAATAAACAAAAGTAGATAGCGTAATAAGGCATTAGGCTGTTTGTCATAAGTAATCATAATTGTCACTAAAACTAAAACGAAAAGAAAAATAAAGAAAAAACCCTATTTTTTTTTAATAATTTTGTTAATATCTTCAAAGTAATAATGAGTGCTCTTTCATTGCGTATTAATGCAAAAGATGGACGAGCACGGCAGTGCACGTTGACACTTCCTCATGGAGAAGTGGAAACTCCAGTATTTATGCCAGTAGGGACAAAAGCAAGTGTAAAATCATTAACATATGAACAAGTAAAAGAAATGGGATGTCAAATATTATTAGCAAACACTTATCACATGTTTCTTCATCCAGGAGTTGATGTACTAAAGAAAGCTGGAGGGTTACATCAATTTGCTAAATGGGATGGAAATATATTAACAGACTCTGGAGGATTTCAAATGGTATCATTATCTGACACAATGACAGTCAATGAACAAGGAGTTATTTTCCAATCAATTGTAGATCATAAACCAATCAATTTACCACCTGAAGAATCTATTCATATACAACAAGCAATAGGGTCAGATATTATGATGCAATTAGATGATGTAGTTTCTTCATTAACAACTGGCCCTAGAGTAGAAGAGGCAATGGAAAGAAGTGTAAGATGGTTAGCACGATGTAAAAATGAATATCTTAAAACAAAAGAAAAACAAAATTTATTTGGTATTATTCAAGGAGGACTTCAACAAAATTTAAGAGAACGATGTCTTGAAGGTATGGTTAAAGTAGATACTCCAGGATATGCTATTGGTGGATTATCTGGAGGAGAAGCAAAAGATGATTTTTGGAGGATGGTTGATATTTCTGCACAAGGATTACCAGAAAATAAACCAAGATATCTTATGGGAGTTGGGTATCCAGTTGAAATGTTATTATGTGTATTATTTGGAGTTGATATGTTTGATTGTGTTTATCCAACAAGAACTGCAAGATTTGGAACAGCATTTAGTGATGATGGATTAGTAACATTAAAGATTAATAAATATAAAGATGATTTTAATGTTATTGATGAATCATGTGATTGTTTATGTTGTAAAAAAGGAAATGGATTAACAAAATCAGCTCTTCATTTTATGTTCACAAATGGAGCTATTGATGGTACACCAGTAGCACAATATTTAACTCACCACAACATATCATATCTCTTTAATTTAATGAGGAAGTATAGAGTGGCAATTAGAGAAGGTAAATCAAAAATATTTGCTCGTGATTATATTATTAGATTTTATGGAGGAAAAGAGCATGTTCCCCAATGGATTATTGATGCATTAACAAAAGCTGATGTAGAGTTTGAATAAAAAGAAATCACAAGAAAAATATAAGAAGAGAAAGATATTAAAAACTTTTAATAAGTTTAATTTTTTATTATTTTAGTGAAAAATTTATTCACAAAAAGAAAAAATAAAAATAAACATCTTGTTATTTATATTGAAATGAGTTTGACAACTACTTTATCTGCAGAACAATGGCAACATGATCATTTTATTGTTCATACAAGTAAAGCTGGTTATTTAGCTCAAAGTATTAGTGCAGTACTTGGATATCCAATTATTCCAATTATCCATAAAAAGTTTAGTGATGGAGAATGTTATTATAGAATTGCTATTCCTGAAAGAACTTCATTAGTTGGAAGAGATGTAGTTGTTGTAAGTTCTATTGTTGATGATCAGGAATTACTTGAGGTAGTTAGAATTGGAGGAGAATTAGCAGAACTTGGAACAAAAAGAAGAATTTTTGTGATTCCATATCTTATGTATTCTACTATGGAACGAGCAGTTCATCCTGGAGAAGTTGTTACATGTAAATCTACAGTAAGAATGTTATGTGGTATACCATCTTCTGGGTTAGGAAATTTATTTATGTTAATGGATCTTCATACATCAGGTATTATTCATTATTTTGAAGGTACAGTTCAGGCAATGGAATTATATGCTGAAAGTACTCTTGAACAAGCAATTGCTGAGAATATTGATTTTAGTGAACCAGTAATTTTTGGTTCAGCAGACCTTGGAAGACCTTTATGGGTAGAAACTTTTGCTAATCATTTTGGAGTTGGAATTGCCTTTATTAGAAAAAGTAGATCCTTTGAAGATACTCATGTTATTGGTGAGCCTATTGGAGATGTTAAAGGAAAACATATTGTTATTTATGATGATTTGACTAGATCAGCTGGATCACTGATTAAAGCTTGTAATGCCTATTTAGATAATGGGGCTGTTAAAGTAACTGCAGTTGTTACTCATTTATCATTGATTGATGATGACGTTGTACAAAAAGTTATTGATTCAAGAATTGATCGAGTAATTGCTACTAATAGTAATGTTAGGTCTCAAATGGATGCAGTTAAAAAAAGTAAGAAGTTTATTATTTGTGATATTTCTCCAGTGTTTGCTAAACAGATTAGAGCATGTTTAAACAACAATAATGACTAATTGTCATTTATTTTATTTCTTCTTTTTTTTTTTACTTTAAAAAAAATTCAAAAATTTATTGAATGAGTAACGAACACCTCATTCGTCAATTAGAAAGTGAAATACAAAAATTAAAGAAACGAGTTGAAGAAATGGAGTTAATACAAGAATTTCCTTCAGCCATTAACGCTTTTAAATATATAATTCAAATACCGAATATTGATGATAGGAAAGTTAAACAACTTATTCAACTCTATGAAAAACAGTTTAATGAAAAAGATATTTTATTAGCGAATAAATTTAAAAAACAATTAACAGGGAAAATAGAAGAATATAATGAATTAATTAAAAATAAAGAAGTTAAAGGAATTGTATTAAGTGTTATTTCACAAGAACGTAAAGAAGAACAAAAAGTTATAGAAAAAGTAATAGAACTATTTAATTCAAATAAAATTAATGAATTACGTAAAGATGAAATTCTTCAATATTTTGATCAATGTTTAATAGAAATAGAAGTACTTAAAAAAGAGTTAGGAAGTAATCAAAAAGGAATTAGAAATGAAATACCCAAACCAGTTCGTGTTATTTCACATTCACCATCATTTGAAAATTTTAATTCATTGTCAACATCAAAAAGTCCAAAAATAAATAATTATGGAGAAATAGCTAAAATTATTGAAAATACATTTAAAATAAATAGTGATCCTATTATAATTTTAATGAACACTATTCATATGAATAAAATGAACTTTCTTACTGAAAATTATTCATCATTAGAAAAGATTACAAAAGAAGGATTAGTTAATATTATTAAAGGAAATGAAAATGTTATGATATTTTTCTTTTTAAAAAGAAATATTATTGTTGGTATTTATTTTATTACTCCTCTTCAACCTGATAAACAAATTAAAGAAAATGATCAATTTTTATTATTTATTATTGAAGATTCAACAATTACTTTTTGTCATCAAAAAAAAGAACAAGGAACTTTAATTAGATTAGGAAAAGAAGATAATGATTTTAATGATTCTTGGATTGAAATAGAAAATGGTTTTAAATTATATCAAGAAAAATCTGGAACTGTTTTTACTATTCCTAAATTAATACTTTCTTTTGAAGAAAACTATATGAATGAATTTGTTGTTCAAAAAAAATCAATTCTTTTTCCAAATACAAAATATGAATTAAATAAAATTGCTGCTTTAAAATGGTTTAATTAACAATTATTTTCTATTTTATAATTTTTTAGTTTTTTAATTTTGTTTATTTTGATTTATAAAAATCTGATTAATAAAATAATAAATAATATTATAATTTAACAATAAATGATAATTTTATAAATTTATAAAATTAGTTTCAATCTTAAAAATATTTGAAGATGGTCATTAAAAGTAGAGGTCTTCATGAAGCTATTGCTAAAGTAACAGATAGAAATGCACCAAATGGTGCATGGGTAATTGCAGAAGTTATTGGGATGGGAGAACGATTTGATTTATATGATGAAGGAGAGGGAGTAGAATCTTTTAAGGCAGCATTACCTGAAGATAATGTTTGCTTTTGTTTAATTTCATTGAGAATGACATATGAAGGTGTCCCTAATATTGCACGAGTTGTTTTTGTTCATTGGAAAGGAAGTAAGTGTAAAGGAATGAAAGTTGTTCGTTCAAACCAATTAACTCAAATGGCATGGGATGTTCTTCAACCTCATCATGGTCAATTAGAAGTTCTTTCAGCAGATGAGATCACAGAAGAAGTTCTTTTGGGAAAATTAGATCCAAAAGGAGGTTCTCATGTAATCGGTTAATTTTTTACTTTTTTTCAGATTTTTCTTCTATTTTGTTAGTTTTTTTTTGTATATTAATTTTATTCAAATAAATTTAATAATATAGAAACTAGTTATTTTGTGGAAGAGTTATATTCATATCTCTTGGAAAGAAAGAAAAATAGATTATAAAGGATTAAATGATACTTATTGAAATTATAATAATACTATTTTACTATTTTCAGCAACATTTTTATAAAAAGTATTTGATAATTGTTGAAATTGAATTATAAAATGTTTGAATAGTATAAAAATATTAAATATTTATTCTGAAAAAAATCTTGCAACTTTTTTATTGTTTTTTTGTTTAAATGAAAGATTTTTTCAATTAAAAGTAAAAAATCTTTACAATTTTGTTCGTATTACTCATCAAATAAATGATAAAATTAAATTGTATTATTTATTTTTAGGAAATAGATGTAAAAAAATGATTGGAAAAAAAAAACAATTAAAAAAAAAAAAAGAATTAATGTAATTTCCTAAATATTTAAAGGTATTAAATATAAATTATATTTCAATATGAAAATTAAACGATATTTAGATTTATATTTAGTAAAAATAATTATTTTCTTATTAATTATAAATATAATAAATAAAATTATAATAAATAATATTAATATTTTCAGTTCGTAGAGTTGTATGACATGACATTATAAATCATTAAAATACTATCAATTTTTTATCCAGAAGAGAATAAAAACATGAGAAAAAAGATTTTTTCTAAATTTCTATAGAATTAAAAGGATGAACTATTAAAAAGTTAGTTTAATGAGCTTTGCAACAAGTAGTATTTTATCTGAACCAATTCAATTTCAAAGAAAAAAAGAAGGCTTTCAAAAGACCCAAAACGAAAATCAAAAATTCTCATGTGTATCACACTCTTCATTAGGACCAATGACACCTAAGAAAAAACCAGGATCCTTACTTCATTACCAACACAAATTCAATACTACTGTTTATTGTAATCCAATAACTTCTAAGAAGGACAAAACAACTAAAGAAAATAATTATCCAGCTGATTTAGATGATGAAGACCTTGAAATTTTAGATATTTTATTAGCTATTGACTCAAAAGAAAGTGAAGATACATATTTAGATGATTATGAACGCTGTAAAAATCCAGGTATGTGCCTATCATTATTTTCATTTAGTCATTAACTGTAAATAAATTTGTATCACTACCTTATTCTATTTTTTGTTTATTAATTTAATAAAAAAATAAATGGATCGTTTCTAAACACAAGTGAAATAATATCGTTATTTGCTTACTAAAGTAACTATAATTCGATGTTCTATTTTGGATAATTATTTTCTTAAATGGTTTTTTTGATTGAACAAAGGTGCAATTGAATTTGTAAATTTATCACTTGATGTAATTTAAATGTTGTTTTATATAACAAAATAGTTATTTTTATTATAATTCTTTTTTGGTTTTTTTAATGTCAATTAGTTAAATATTGTTATTTGAGAAAACAATGACTAGAGAGACAATATTTTTGTATATATTATTGTACTACAAATGGCTGTGTGTTTATCAACTAGTTGATAAATTTTTTCTAGTAATATTAATATAAATAAGAAATTATTAATACAAATAAAATAAGATAAAAGTAATAATATAATAAAGTGATAAATAATATTATTGTTATATTTTATTTTTCTAAAAATTCAATGAAATAGTATTTGATAATAAAATGAAAGGTTTAATATTAGATTGTCTAATTTTATTGTTTTTAATGGAACACTAATCCAATTTTTAATTACTTAATAAAACAATATTTATTTTTAAATAAAGTGAATTAGAGATTTAACTTCTCAAAGTAACAGTAATACAGAGATAATTAAGAAATTAGACTAACAGAGTGAAAAAGTTTAAAGATAGTATAGAAGAATAAAACTAACATATTAATATCAATTTTCTAGCTAATTCTTAAAGAAAATAAAAACTCTACTTTATAAATAAAAGAGAAATACAAATAAAAATAATAAAAATAATATTTAAGATAAATAAATTAATGAATTAAAAATGTTAAAGATTTAAAGACTTCAAAACATTTAAAGAAGCTTTTTCAGTAAGATTTTTCCATTCATGAACATATGATAAATTTGGAATAGAAAACATTAATTCTGTAATATCAATTTGACCAGCATTTGATTCTAATATAGTAATAATAGTACTAATCGTATCAAAGTTTCCATCATTTGATAATATTCTTAAATATTTCCATCTTCCTTCTTTTGCATTATAACAACATTCAAGCACTGCATTTTCATCAACATTATATTTAGTTTTATCAGCTTCTAATAAACAAAGATCACGACTATCAAAATTAACTTGTTGTAAATAAACAATGGAAGTATTATAATAAGATTTACAACATAAAGATACTTTGCGAGAGTTTCTATAAAACTGTTCTTGAATTCCTAATTTACAAGTAATTGTATCATTAAATTGCCATTTAAAGAAATAATTATTTGTAAAAGGAATATACTTTGAATTTGGATAAAATAAAAATCCTTCAGTCAAATGGAATCTTTTTCCATCAATAAAAGTAATTCCATACTTTGTTTTTTTCATAACTTCAAATAGTTTATTAATTAATTTAATTTCAAGAAATGGTTTTGTGTTTAAAATGAATATAATTTCATCATCTGGAATATTATTTTTTGAAATTTCTTCTCTAAATTTTAAAATAATTTCTTTTCCTAAAATTTGAAGTCTTTCAGTAAATAAATAATTAGTCGTAACTGTATTATTATAAATTAAAATGTCATTACATAAAAATGTTGGTTTTTTTGTTTGAATATTTTCTATCATTTCTCCATCAATAATTGTTAATCCTTCTTTATAAATATTTGTAATTAATGGATATTGAACACTAAATACATTCATTTCTTCATCAATTAATAATACTTCATTATTATCAAACATTAAAAAATATTTTTTTCCTTTAGACTTTTCACAAACTAAATATTGTGGTGCTGTTTTATCATGAAATTTAATATTATGAAGTATTTTATAATGTTGTCTACTAATAAAGATTGGTTTTGTTCCTGGAAATTTTGGATCTGTTGGTAATTCATATCCAAATACTTTAAAGATTTTTTCAAGATATTGTCTACTTAATTCTGATGGTATTTGTTGAATATCTATTTGTTCAATTCCATTGGTTTCTACATTATTAATATCTTTAATTGTATTATAAATATCACTACATATCTTATGAATTAATACTTCATCATTTGTTTTATTAATTCTAATTCTTAAACAATGTTCAATTGTTTTATTTACCCATTCTTTTCCTTCTTTTTGATATTTACTGATTTCTTCTGCAATAATTGTATATTCAGAATGTTCATAATATTTTTGTTTACTTATTGTCTTTAAATTCATTGCACTTTTTGCTTCTTCTTCATCAATTTCTTTAATGTATAATCCAAATTTAATATTCAAATCAAATACTAAACCACTGTCAATTCTTTCTTCTTCAAGTATTTCAAATACGTTCATATCTTGTGTGTTCTCATCAATCCATATCTCTCTAACTTTGCTTTTTCTAATCTCCTTTATTTCTTCTCTAGCCTCTTTTTCATACGTTAGTATTTCATAAAATCGTCTTGTAATGCCTTCAATAAACTCTTCTCCATCTTCTATTTCTTATTTCTTTTCTTCATTTTTCCTTTTTCTTTAAAACAAACTTTTTCTTCCAAACTCAATTTCAACAAAATCTGGTTGTTGTTCAAACCCTTCAATAACTTTTTCTTCAAACACTTCAAAATAACTTCGTTTTGGTTCTAATCTGAAATTCTCTAGTACTTCCATTCTTTTTCCTTTTTATGTTTTTCTTAGTTGATTAAATTTGAAATAAAAAAAAAGAAAAAAAGAAAGAGAAAAAAGAAAAACAAATTTCAAATTAAAACAAAGATATTTTTGATTTTTTTAATTAATTTATCTTTTAATATATATGTAATTCATCTTTTAATTTGTCATCTAATGTATTGTGCACATCTCACAACAACCAACTGAATCAGAAAAGATGAATAACAGAAATCTCAACAAAAGAGACAAAACAAAATAAAAGAAAAACAAAAATATGAATATTTCATCAAAAAATCAAATTAAATTTATCAATCTAACACTGACAATATTCTTACTCATAACACATTCACTTTTAATACAATCTGATTCAACACATCAAAAACTCCAAAAAATCTTTCCCCACTTCATTAAATCTATTAAATTGAAACCTTATGTCATTGACTCAACTATTCTTAACAAACTCTATTTAATTTCATGTTCAATACGCATACAAGCTCTAAAAGATGACCAGAGCCTCATTAAAATTATAATGCGTGAATCTGACAATCAATAATTTTATGTTTAATTAAATGATTGTTTAGTTTATGTCCATAAGGTCTATGAACAACAAAATAAAATAGAAACCTATTTATGATTTATTACATAAAATGATTCTTTTATTACAAGATTTAAAAAAAGTATAATAGTTTTCATTTATGTTTAATTTATTAATTTAAGATAACTTCAATCTACAAATACTTATTTTGTTTGTAACTTCAATAAACATGATAATGGCATATACTCAAAACAAAGTAGGTATGAACGTATTAAGAAAACAATAAAAATTTGGTGGTATTAATATTTTATTAATTTAAATCGTTAATAACTCAAATTTAATTATAACAGAGATAAATTTAATAAATTTAAATTTTTATAATGATATTGTTAATGATATGAATAAATATAAGTTGAATAAAAAAAAAAGAAATTAAAGAAAAAATACTACCTGAATAAAAATTATAATATAATTGAGATTCATTATTGTATTTTTCTTTATTCAATACTGATACTTACAGCTTTAACTTACACTTTTATTATAAGTAAAATATTTTAATAATTAATTTTTTTTTGTTTTTTTTTATTCATAAAGACAATAAAATGAATTAAGGTTAATAAAAAGCTTATTTGAATTATTTATTTTTTATTTATTAATTTATAGCGTTTATTCTATATTGTTATTAGAATACACAAACCTTGTATATTCTATTGTTAAATAATTTATAAAAAGGTACTCGAAGTTATTAAAAATATTTCATTAATATATTTCATTCTTAAAAGGTTTTTAAACAATTTACACTGAATTACTTAAACTAACTCTCATATCAATAAATGAATACATTTAAACTATTGACAATATCCAATAAGAAGTAATATACAAAATGAAAATTAGTTCATTTTATAAATATAATTTTCTTTTATCTTTGAGTATCTTCTTTTTGTTATTAAATAAGACTATTAAAAATACAACAAGAATAAAAGAGAACTATCAACACAAGTGCTGTAAATTATAGTCTTTGGTTGAGAATAAGTAGTAAATGAATAACATTTTTATAATGTATTTAACATAAATGCCTACAACAATTTATTTGATGTCTATAAATCTAGGAATGTTTGTGGTATTGTTTATTTAAATTAAATGAACGAATAATAATAATGAAGTTATATAAAATAACAAAACACTAAATTTCATATTAAGCATTTTAATTAAAAATAATAATTATTATAAGTGTAAGATAATAATATTGATAAAGAAACTACAAGTTACTAATTTAAGAAATCGAAAATAATAAAAAAACTACAGTAATATCTAGATAATTAACGATTACAAAAACTAATAAATTTATGAATGACCAAAAGAAGTGTTATAAATTAGTGATTTAAATTAGCCCATAAGAAGAAGTCATAAACGTATATCCAAATAAGAATAATAAAGTAAAGTTAACAAATAAAATAATAACTATATTAACCAGATGAATAGTGACAATCTTTATGAGAATTTACTAAATACATAAGCTCAGAGTCAATCAAAAGACAGTTAAAAGAAATAATAAATTGAAGAAAGAGTATGAAGAAATGAAATAATAAATCTTAAAATAGTAATTAAAGTATAGATAAAAAATACATTTAAACTAATATAAAATTCAATCATTGATAAAACTCATTTAAGATAAAAGAATTATTAACCAAATAATAATAACTTAATTAAAAATATAAAGTACAGGAATTATAAAAAAAATGAAGATTATATGATATAAACTGAAGAAAATGAAAAATAAATTTAGAAAAGTTAGAGGTCTTT